ACTCAAATTCTTTTATAATTTAATAAGAATTTATGCTTACTATCTTTATCTTTTATTATAATATTTCAATTTCTATAGTGACTCTTCTAAGTTTGTCTTTATTTTTGGTGTGCACTTTGAAATAAGACATAATAGAAACAATAAATAATCCAACATTCATTTAGATGCAAGAAAATACAATCATGGATATAAAAGTATTAATATTTTAGTTTATAACAGTAAGAAATAAGACTTCATGGTCTTTTTACGAGTCTATTTAAATATTAGAATACAAAAGCTACAAATCTAAGAAAAATCCTATATTCTACTAAAGATATTTTTATGTAAGATCCTTTATAATCATGAAATGTGTTTCATATAAATATCCAATAAAATATGAATTCTATGTATCACAATCATACATATTTATTCTAATATTTATTTATATGATTAAATAGAAGTAGATAAAAGTAGATTTATTTCATAATATTTTCTAGAAAAGCTTCTTAGAAGCCTTATAGATACTGCTTTAACTTCACATATGTTTTTAGTTGATTGATAGGCTAGAAACTTGTTCAACAAGTTAATCATGTATTGATAGCTTACAAAACAAGATAACTATGTGGTACACATATAGAAAACTTGCCTTACAAGTTAAAATACGTGTCTTATAAAGCCAACATGTTTTGGAGGTCTTATAGGATATTGCCATGTAACTCCTAATTAAGAGTATATATGGAGACCAAAGTAAAGCCTTCTTCATTCTTGTCAATGCCTTTCTAGTCTTGAGTCTCATTTTAAGACTTTCTAGTCTCTTTGTCTTTGACAATAGTCATTTTACTTTAATACTATATCATCTTTGAGTGATTTTTTAGTCATTTTGAATGACATAAGAGTGTATTGAGGATTTATTTCTTCAAGATTCATGTCCTTCACACTATGAGAACAACCTTCCTACTCATACTACTTTCTAATAAGTGGCTACATTTAAATAATTAATTATTTTTTTTCCTATCTTATTAGCTTGGTCATTAATTGATCTACTATCAAGATTATTCAATCTCTCTAATTTACTTAGAGACTTTTTTCTATTATCTCTAATTTTTTAATATTCTTTTATTTATTTATTTATTTATTTATTTATATTTATATTTATATTTTTTTCAACTTTAAGATGGCTTTAGAGTTTAATTCCAATACCTCCTCTTTATCATCTTTTATGATTTCTTTATCATAGAAAAACTCATCTAAGTCAATCATTATTTGTCACCTCTTACATCTTTGTTTCTTTGAGTTTAACTAGTTTCAAATTAGAATTTTAGAAAAATATGATAGCAAACATCAATGATAAATCCTTGATTGTGGACAAACTTTTTGCCAAGGATTTGACAAGAATGGATTTCAAAATTTGGCTTTTTCTATTAGAGGTTAAAAAAATTTGAAAGGCATTTGCAAGACTCTCATTTTAATTGCCATAATATGCATTGTGCTTAATTGTCAAGACATTAAGTATCTCTAGACATCTTTTTTAAAAACATGGACTATCTTCTTGATCTTTTTATACCTCTTGGTCACCTTCAAGTTTACCTTAGCAACATCTTATTTCATCATCTCCTCTCTCTTTGCTATATGATGATTTCAAAGAGGTGCCTTTGAGAGCAACTTTGGATCAATGTTCAAGAATCTAATCAAATCATCTTATTGCTTTAAAATATAAGTAGCATCTTTTTGATATTTTTCAATTCATTCTTTAATTATATCACATAGTCCTCTACTCTAGTGACCCAAGATTCCAAAAACTTGCTTTTCTTTCTACAACTTTAGAACCTTATTAGGATAGAATATAAAAATGTTCTAATTTCTGGATCACCTTTCTTATATAATTTTTTTCTAATTCTACATATCATATATATGTCTTAATTCCATCTAAGTAATCTAATGGAAACTAAACTTGAGAGTTTGTAAAGATTTCTTTTGTAAGAGTGATCAAGACAATTCTCCCTAATAATGGTAGTTGAAGCTCAAATCATTGTAGTTTGAACTTGGATTGATATCTATTCACTCAAGATAACTTTGACATTTCTTTGTCTTCATCCTTAATTAGAATTTTATTTGGCTCTTTTTTTGCTAACTGCACCTTGGCTATTTGGTGGAATGAAATAATGTCTTGCAACACATATTCTTCTTTTTCATTAGTGGTTAGCAAATTGTGTGCTTTATATATGTAATAATGAAACATGTAAACTTTAGTGAAATAAGCCTTCTTGGTTCCTAATAATATATGTTGAATTGCATCAAGAAGCAAAAAAATCAATTTATTAATTGAGTACTTGCTAACGTATTTGTAAATACATCTATTCAAGTTTTATTGATCTGGTTGAAGTGATCAATATAAAAGATTGAGATGAGAATTTTGAAAAAAAATTATATTCATATATTGTAAATTCAATGGTACTTATACTTCTTCTAGTTATCATACAAATCTTTTATAAAAACCAATGGAATCTCATGTGTGAGGTTTTATCATTGTTGCAAGAATCTACTACATGCATTTTTCAATCCGTAAGTTTTGGCTATGAGAGCCAAATCTTATTCCTTTGAGTAATTCCAAATTGTGCCCTCCATGCTTAAGAATATCTCTTTTATCACTAGCTCTTCTATAATCTGAGTTTATAAATTCAAAAGAAGATTAAGCAATGCCTCACAATCAATCTTCATGAGGTCATTTCTTAACTTCACCTTTATCTTCTTCTTTATTTGGATTTCAAGTTCAATTCTTTGCAAGACTATCTTAGTCTTTGCCATCTTTTACACACCCAAATTCTAAATACAAAAGTCTAATTTGCTATTCCGCCAATGCTTTTTGAATTTCATTTGATTTTCTTATTATTAATAATTCTCAATGTTCAAATATTTTTGAACCAAAGCCTTTTTAGGATTTTATAACTTTTTCAAGACTATTTCAAACCTTCAACCAATCTTCATTTGTTGCCTATAGTGATTGATGGCCAATGACATTTGTACCTGCCACTTCCATCTATTGTAGTTGTACATATTGTTGCTATATTATGGAATAATAATTACTTTGGCAGAAATCAAGCTATGAATGTTGTTATCAATCTTTTCTTGCTTTCAACCAATTTCTCCCTTAATATTGTTATATCCATCATTTTGCCATCCAATCACATGTGGTGTTATTTAATGGTTATCAATACTTATGCTGATCTAATTAAAAAGGCATTGCTTCTCCTCTCGCCTAAACTTCTACTTCTACTTTATTGCCTCAGATCATTCTTTCTTAAATAGCACTAGGATATAGTAGCAAACAATTGGTACATGGGCTACTCTCACATAATTTATAGAACAATATTAGCTCTATTTTGGATGAATTGTTAATATGTTGATAATTTATAATTATATTTAATAAAAAATCACTTAATCTTGAATCCTACTAGTACTTAATTCAAATCTAAGAGGCCTATCTAAATTTCAAAAATTACAAAATTTTAACCTATTTCATATCTAAACTAAAAAAAAAAATGTTGTGTTAAAAGTAGATATTTGACAAGAAGCTTAGGTACAATACACATTACCAAACAAGTACAAAAATGACCACACTTTTAGCATTTAATAAGATCTACCATGTAAGCTATTGCACCACAATATTGCACTAATAATTCTTTTAGTTTAATAAAATAGAAACAAAATACTTAAACAACAACAATAAGAGCATTAGTTATATTTTGTGTTAATTGTAGCTAATTGTTGATCTTCAATTGTTAAAAATTATTTTTAATTGTAATTAAAACTATAATCTTTTTTATTTTATAAATAAATGTAAAAGAATCAAAGAATATGATAAAACATTGTTTTTGGAATTTCAAAAAAAATACTAAAAAATAAATAACATCTGCATAAACTAGCTCAATGGCACCATCTTTATGAACAAAATCTTCTTCAAATGCATACTAGAAGATTTTAAGATGTCATATTTCTCAAAGCTATTTTAAAAGGCAATCTTAGAAGTTTAGACGTTTTATTTTAGTCAAAAACACATGTCAACAAGATATTCACAAGTGAATTTTTTTGTAGATACAAACCATTGCTTAGTTAGATAATATTAATATTAGCAATCAATTTGACTATATTAATTATTTGGTTGTCTATGATATGTAGTATGAAAAAATCTAATGAATAATAGAAGTATTCAAAGTAACAATTAGGGATGTTAATAAAGATAAATTGATCACTAATATGACACTATATGAAAATGCTACATTGACCAACTATTGTACAATTGTTTGTATGAATAATAATCACAATTTTACTAAAAATAATATTTTCTTGAAACTTCAAGATTGCTTCTTCAAAGACATCTTGTAGTGTTCAAAGTAAAGCAAAACAATGAATTAATCTAAATAAGCATAGATTGAATGATTTGGATCCATTTAAGTAATATTCTTTGATTGATGAATGTATATTGTATTTGCACTTCATTGCAAAAATTGCACCCTCTTTCCAACAACATAGACAAAAATAGAAATGAACCACCCAATCTTTTGCACCAATATTTGTAGTTTGATGGAACAAAAAAAAAAGATGAAAAGAATCCACTATACATGTGATATGATATGATTGTGTGTGCACATGATTGTGTAAATCCAAACATGTCCAATTCTATTTGGACAATAGTGCTTTAGCAACAACAACACTAGAAACAAAATCTTTATTTTTCACACAAACTTGTCATTGGACGTCATCAAAAACACAGAGCCATGATGGTTGTCTGAACAAAGACTTTCTTCCGATGTTTTCCATTCATGAGTACCTGATGTGTTGAGGCGCTGGTGTTGCATGTACCTTGTGAAATGCAATGGTTTGTATGGACGGATTCTCTGTAAATATGAATATGTCGAAAGAATCCACAGACAACGTCCGTGTAGCAGTGCGCAAGTCAGCGTTCTGATGGGTATGGTTTCGTCCGTCAGGGAGGGGGGAGTGAAGAAGGGCTGTGTAGCGCGTGAATAGGTCGCAACTGCGAGGGGAAGGAGTGTCGGGGCTGTGGGGAAAGGGGAGTCGAACGCAGGCAAGGCAAGGCAAGACAGCCCAGACTTCTTCGCGTGGAACTGGAGGGGGAGCAGCAGCAGCAACAGGTTCCATCCATCGCCCGCCCCCGCCCGCTCTCCTGCGGCACCACCCTCCACCTGCACTCTCTCTCTCCCTTCTCTTCTCTCTTGTCTCTCTCTTCTCTGTTTCGCACAATCTGTCCCCGTCAGGGCTCTTGCCCTACCCACCGAAGCAGGCTCTCGCACTGTGCTTGCTCGGTCTGCCCCCACTCCACACCACCCCACCCCCCTTCTCTTCCTCTCTCACCAATCTCCTTTTAGTGGGGTGCAGGGCCCTGGTCTTGGATCGCTGCAATTCGTCAGCTCTTCTTCCCCGTCCCGGTTTGGCGTGGATTGCCGCAGGGGTCTCTCGGTGCGCACTGTTCGTGAGTTGGGTTTTGGCGGTACTGTTTTGGAGCGCTGTTTCGGAGGATTTCAGAATGGCGGAGGGCGGGCCGCTGGGCCTGCTTGTCTTTGCCACAATCTTCGTGCTCATCGGCGTCTTGGCCTTCTCTATACGGTTGTTCTCTGTAAGTGCCGGATCTCCGATTTTTGTCTCTGTCTTGGAAGCTTTAAATTGGCCCATCGTCAATTGGATCATACCGATACCTCATCGGTATGAGGTTTTGGTGGCATTTTGCGAAGGTTTTCGCGATCGCTAGACAAGCCTCTCAAGGAGGGCCGTGTAACGAAACATAGCTGCCGCAACGCTCTGGCACGACAAACGACTTTTGCAGCACATACTATGCATTTCCTCAGTATGGATTTTCTTTGACTGTTTTCGGTATGCGGTGTGAGCTGAGCTAACTCCGGCGCCTGCTTACGGAATGTAATGCTTGTGGATCATCTGATATGCCCCAAAACATGTTGGTTGTGTGTGTGCTATTCCGATTCCTCTCGGATCGCTGTTCAACTGCAATGTATGGTTCACGCATTGAATGACGATTAGGTGTTGGTATTAGCTGCGAGTGCAACAATTTTGTAGCAGCCCTACGTTTCTCGTCATCACTTTAATCTTCGCCCGAATTGAAAGCATAACCTCCGGCTTACTCAAGGAACGAATCACCACAACAATGAATCAGCCTGTAGAACTTGGACGCGCTTTCCAGCTTCATCGATAAGTGCAGCAGGATAGGAGTGTATTTTCAGTCCCTTTGACAGATGTGTACTCCCGTTCAGAGTTTATGAATTTCGTCTTGTGGGCTGGGTCAGGGACCCCGTTTTCATTATGCAAGCTCCTGATTAGGGTTTATACATCCCACTCCGTGGTGTCGTCCTGACGGACCCGCCTTTGCGTTTTCAAATTGGAAATGGCATTTGTTTTGATCGGCAGCATGTTGGAGTATTTTCTTCGCCAGCCCTTGGATATTTTGTTCCTGCGTGTCAGGCCGTTGGTTATGATGTACGACGTCGGTAAATCTCAAGAGAAAGTGATTGGATCACCCGGCATTGTAAGGGAAGCCTATCGAGTAGAAGATGGATGCTGTGGGAGAGATCCGTTTATAAACCACATGGTTTACTTACAGTGATTATGTATTGCTACAGGTCATCAAGTATGAGAGCATCATTCATGAGTTTGACCCGTACTTTAACTACAGAGTCACTCAGGTATGTCTTCTGGCTTATAAGTTAACTGTGACACGTAAACCACCGCTCCTGATGGCAGCAAGTAGATGGTTGTTCTGGATTTTTCAGCTCAGCTTGCTCTCTTTGAGGGGAGGGTTGTAACCAATTAAACTGCATGAGTTGGTATTCGCTTCGACCGTACGCATGAACGTAGTTTTCAGGGAGTTGTTAGATATTGTGCTTTGGGCAGCGGGGCAGGCTGGTGGGGTGTAGATCTACCTCTGGAATCGAAATCTGGTTGCATTGTATGCCTGTTACTTCAGCTTGATAAGCCTCTATCCCTATTCCGTAGCTTTAGGAGCGCACTGATGCATTGTCACACTGGTTTTGCAGTACTTGACCAAAGCCGGCATTTATGAGTTTTGGAACTGGTTCGATGATAGAACATGGTGAGCATCGTCATCTTGCTGCAAGTTTCGTGATTTTCTTGTTCTTTGAGTTTATCGAGGAGCCATGTAAATTGAAGAGTATTTTCTTGGTGACGCCGTGCCATGGTGCAGAGTAGCCGATACTTTGCCACAGTCATTCCTTTGTAGTTTGACAGGCCTAATTCTACTGTAGCTTACAGCAGCATCAATAAGTAAAAGCGTCATTGTGCGGTGAATGTGACTGGTTGGAAAAACACTTAACTGACTGGTGATTGATAACTTGACAGGTACCCATTGGGGAGAGTGATTGGAGGGACTGTTTATCCAGGCCTCACGTTGACAGCAGGAACCATGTGGTGGTAAGACGGACGGATGTGCAGTGTTTTCTCTACCGACAGCATGTTTCACCTTTCGATGTGATTGCTGAATCTGCAGTGTTCATCATCGACATTCAGTACTTATGTTGGGGCATTTGGTGTGTAGGGTGGCACAAGCTATTAACATTCCTTTGTCGGTGGAGACGGTGTGTGTTTTCACCGCCCCAGTCTTCTCAGCGTTTGCGTCATGGGCCACATTTCTGCTAACCAAGGTAAGTGAAGTTTTGAGTGGGCGTGCAGAGAGTCCGGGTATTTCAATGTGCTTGTAAAGCACGTATGCAGATGTGAGACCCTGATGTAAGATCCAGATTCCTAGATCTGATACATTCTAATCTGAAGTACTCACGGCATTTATGTCATGTCATGCCCCGCATTGACAAGATGTTCCAGAACGCCATATGCTCAGTTGTAGGGTGTTCCTGTGAGCTTCTATTGCGAGGATCAGTTTAACAATACATGCCCTATCGTAGTTTAAATCTGTCCTGTCGCACTGGTGTTTTTAGAGCGATCGTATTTTTGAGGAGGCACCCAGCTGTACTCAATAAGTGACGACTTGCTTGCGAATTTGCAGGAAGTGAAGGGTACCGGCGCAGGACTAACCGCGGCAGTCCTTCTTGCTATGGTAAGGAAACGTGCACCCTGTACCTATCATATTATTTTCATGGTCGTTAATGCGCTTAGGTGGTTAGTTTCTCCGAGAAGATCCATGCTCCTGTAATGGTGACCTCAAACCTCTTCCCCTGACCACATGTTTGAGATTGTGTAGGACTCGTGTTAGATAAGTTGGAACTAGTATGATGTCGTGCACCGTTGAAACTATTATGTCTTGCGTTTCAATATCAGAACATGCTCTAAATTGTTTGCCTGCGCATGTGACGGGTGTAGGTTCCATCGTACATCTCAAGGTCTGTAGCTGGTAGCTACGACAATGAAGCAGTTGCTATATTTGCTCTTGTTTTGACCTTTTACTTGTATGTCAAGGTGAGTGTTCTTCACGATTATCGTGTGCTCTTTAGTGGATAGATTTCCGCCGTGGCGACTGTTGTAGAGGTAGGTGTGCTGTACTTTTTACAGCAGGAAACTTGGACAATTTCATGCCGTACTCGGAATTTTCATCGTTTATCTAAAGTTCGTGTTGGTTTGCAGACGTTGAACACAGGGTCACTTTTCTATGCGACATTAAACTCTCTTGCCTACTTCTACATGGTATGTCTAAAGTTCAAGTAGTCAGAAGTCGGACACCGCTCTTTGCTGGTGCTCTGAACTGTTGCATTGAAACTCTTCTACGTCGGGGTTGCTGGAGTGACTTATATTTATTTGGTTACCCTTCATTTTGTTTGTGTATGATCATGATATTGACGAAGTTGCGGTTTACAGACTTGTTCTTGGGGTGGTTACACGTTCATAATCAACCTCATTCCAATTCATGTGCTGCTATGCCTGGTCACTGGCCGTTACTCATCACGGCTCTACATTGCTTTTGCACCCTTGGTAAATATTTTGCCTTCACCAGTATGTAGAGTTGTGATTAAGAAATAGTGCGCTGTATCTTTATTGTCGGTATTTTCCCATTTCCTTGACGTCTGTTTTTATTGGAAATTCTGTCACCTTTTTCCACATTGGGTTCTCGAGGTTTCGTCGTACGCATGAGAGCAAAATGAATGCTGTGCAGGTGGTACTGGGAACTCTTCTAGCAGCTCTTGTGCCTGTGGTGGGTTTTAACGCTGTTATGACATCCGAGCACTTCGCCGCTTTTCTGGTTTGTGAACTTCCTTGTCTTGTTCCGAGTGCCCTGGACTGTATATTTTGACTTGGGTTTCCATAATGTATTGTCGAGTGATCAGTATAATTCATCTAGCTCTATTTTGATTCCTTAACCCTGATCCGTGTATGGATTTTTCCGGCAGGTATTTGTCATCCTGCATGTCGTTGCCTTAGAGCGCTATATTCGGCGTACGCTTGACGAAGCAACCTACCGCATGGCATTCACAGTGGTTGTCGCCATTGGGACGTAAGTGTGTTGTACGTTTTAATTCGCTTGTTTGTTTGTTTGTTTTTAAGTGATGTGGTGGTACCGCGTGACCATGGTTTTTAGCATCGCTGACGTGGAGCACCTCTCAAAGAATGTTTGTGTGTATTGGTAAATGACAGGACGGGTGCTGTTGTGCTTGTTGGGATACTGATTGCCTTAGTGGCAGCTAGCCCTACAAAAGGATGGAGTGGACGCAGCCTGAGTTTGCTGGACCCGTACGTGATCGAAGATTCTAATCCTATATACTGAGTTTCATGGCTATCGGTTTTCTCGACGTATTGTCTTTTGAGGATGTGAAACAAGTACTCTGGCTTCCAGCAACGTGTGTATAGACAAGTGAAAAGTGACGATTGCTATGAATGTCTGTTATGCCTGGATAAAAAGTAGTTTGTGTTTCACTTGGCTGACTTCCCGACTGTGATTGTTGGTGTGACGCTGATGTTCAGAACCTATGCAAGCAAGTATATCCCAATCATTGCTAGTGTTAGCGAGCATCAGCCACCCACCTGGCCTTCGTATTTCATGGACATCAACATTTTGGCCTTCCTAGCTCCAGCTGGTATCATCGTAAGGACTTTACTGGTCTTGTTCGCTTAACGAATCTTTTGATGATCCGCCTCTTCTAACACTGTGGAAGTTTGAGGCGTGCAGTTTAATTCTTTAAGGACACCTAATGTATTGTGTCAGGTTTGGTCACGTGATAGCTTGGTTTTAAATCGATTCTAACACTTCACCTTCGGAACCTGCAGGCATGTTTCCGGCCACTGACAGATTCAAGCACCTTCATCATTCTGTACATGATTACATCCGTGTACTTTTCTGGAGTGATGGTACAATCGAGATTCTCAATCTTAACATCAGAAAGGGCTATTTTACAGACAGCAGTGGAGATTTTTAGGTCAAATTTGTCTTTAGTTTGATCATTTTCCAATTTTGTTGGCATTTCAAATTTGGTTGCTTGTGACTGTAGGTCCGGCTTATGCTTGTACTGGCCCCGGCAGCTTGCATAGTGGGAGGCATTGCGCTATCTGCAGCTTTTGAGACTCTCACAAGGTCTATCAAGTATGCACCCACGGCACCTCCGGCCTTGTTACTCCCCGCCGAAAAGGTACGTGCCAGGCTCTACAAGTATTTTTCTCCAATGCAACGAAGTTTGGGTTTTGAAACCGTGGTCTTTGCAGGGCTCTCATCTCCTGTTTGTGGCATGCAAATCAGGATCCGTGCTGATCCCAGTTTTACACGCTATGTTCAATATTTGTACATTGGTTGACGAAGTTCAAAAAGCTTTGTGCCACATTGGGTTTCTGAACAGAGGGTGAGGATTATGCAATACGTACTCAGAGTGTTGTTATTATATACACTGAACGCTGCAAAATGTCTCTATTTCCGATCCTAATTATATTAGATCGTGGTTGATTTTGATTAGAAATCTAGCCTGTGTTTACGAATTAAGAATGTGACAGGAAGAGGCGTCCAGCTCAGGAGCTACACCAGGATCCTCAGCAGCTACAAGTTCAAAAGAAAAGGCCAAGGAGGCAAGTACGGGAAAGGCGAGAGAGACGGGAAAAGAAAAACCGGCGAAGCGAAAGCAACGGAAAGAGAAAGAAGCTACAGATAAACTGATTGCAGGGAAGGAAGCTCCAGAGGAAAAATTAGCTCTACTTCCCGTGGAGGCATCTGCTGTTGGTATTGTGCTCCTCATTATGCTGACGAGTTTCTATGTGGTAAGTTCTTTCAATGCCTCCATAGTAACAGCCTTAAGAAAATTTACGCGTGTTTCGATCGAAATTATAATGCATGACATGTCATGCCATTCTTGTCTTGTGCCACATCTGCATGTCTATGTGGCGCAATGAATATGCCCTTCAGAAAGCCGGGTCGTACTCGAAGTTGCAGAGTACGACGTGGATGACTTATGTTGTTAAAATTGGCTGCAGGTTCATTGTGTGTGGGCTGCAGCAGAGGCTTACTCAGCACCTTCAATTGTGCTGACATCTCGGACTGAGGATGGAGTGCACGTCTTTGACGATTTCAGAGAAGCGTATGCATGGCTCAACCATAATACTCATGAAGATGACAAGGTACAGGAATTATTTCACGATTGTGCTACCTGATTTTGAATTCACCCCTGCTGATGCCAGGCCTCTGCCGTAGTGCATGGTGGACTTCTTATACACCATCTCGGGTGAAGGTCAGCATAATTGTGCCTCGGGCAAAATGGAACGATGGAGATGGGGAAATTACCAATGTGCTGTTTTTCCACGAATATTTGAGACAAATGTTGTGTTTTGGATAATCTGGTGCGAATGAATGTGGGTCAAAGGTCGCATGTTTGGGTTGATCAACCGTCAGGTCGGAATTAGGCCTTTCGTTCTGGACTCAGGATTGTTTTCATTGCTCTTAACGCGTGTTTGTGTTGACCAGGTGGCGTCCTGGTGGGATTATGGATATCAAACAACTGCAATGGCGAACAGAACTGTGATTGTGGACAACAACACGTGGAATAACACGCACATAGCTACAGTCGGCATGGCGATGTCTTCTCCCGAGAAGGCAGCATGGGACATCTACCGATCCTTGGATGTGAAATATGTGTTCGTCGTTTTTGGAGGATTAGTAGGTTATCCAAGCGATGACATCAACAAGTTTCTTTGGATGGTGCGCATTGGTGGGGGTGTATTTCCTCACATCAAGGAGCCTGACTACCTGGTAAGTTCTGCAACAGTTTTGATCTTACTCGCCATCGCAAGCACACTTGTGAATATGGTCATGTTTGGGTCGAACCACCCCTCAAATTTTGAGGATTACTCTGAATTAGTGCGTGGTATTTTTCATGACAGAGAGACGGCCAGTACCGTATTGATAGCCAGGCCACCCAAACGATGCTCAACTCCCTGATGTATAAATTATCCTACTACAGGTGCGTGATTCTGTGAACCGTGTTAGTCATTTTCCGAAGCAGATGCGGAAATATTTTATTGTATTTTATTTTTCTTGAGGGCTTGCCGCCCTGCAGTATTTGCTGCTTGTTGCGTTTCTGTTCTTGTTCGTTAGTTTTAATCGGAAGCTATAAACCATGTGTTTTGGAGGACAGGTTTGCAGAAGCCACCATGGATGGGAAGGGCTACGATAGAGTTAGAAGGACCGAAATTGGGAAAAAGCAGTTCAGACTGACTCACTTTGAAGAGGTATTTTAAGTGAGCCTGCATGTTTTGATATGTTTTATGCTTTGCTGCAGTTCCTTACATTTGCTAACGTTGATGATCCATGTTTGAGTTTGCACTTAACTAGAAAAGGGTTGCGTCGTAGGTTTTTACAAGTCATCATTGGATGGTGCGGATATACAAGTTGAAGGAACAAAAGAACAAAGTGCGTGGGAAGATCAAACGCAAATCAAAGGCTGTAAGTGGCTGCGTCTCTTCCCGTTACACCTTGTCCTTCCATAATGTCTTCTGTTACCAATGCACTGTCATGGCAGTTCTATTTGTTTACTGTCGTAGGCCGTGCAAGTGCTTCCAACCACCTATTAGTACCAAAGAGTTGTTTTGTTATAGATTTTTTCAACAAGATTGCTGCTACTGCAGATAACACTGAGCTATCATGTGGAAAGTAGTAGCCATACCCTTGCCAGCAACTTCGTTCAATTGCGTGATAGGTTCCTGGTTTATAGCTCATAAATGATATCCTTGTTCAGAAGTTTTTTAGACATGTTTTATGGTGACCTGCAGAGCAAGAGCAAGGCAAGCTCAACAACGAAGAGAAGTGCCTCAAAGGGAAGATCGCAGAAGTGAGAAAGAGGCGAGAATGAATGTAGCCTTAAGTTATCAGTTGAGGTAGGGATTATCAGGCCCTCTGCAGGTAGAGTAGGTTGGAAGTGAGGACAGAATCTAGATTGATGCATTCAAACAGGTGGGTGGTAGGGCATGGAGCAGTGTTGGGCGGATGTCTAGTTTATCAAAGAACCACGGGCTCCGGTTACTTGAATTTTACTATTTCAAGGACTTTCCTATGTTGGAGTTCCATGAATGGAAATTTATTGGTCCATCGTTTTTGCCGGTCGCAGAAGGGAGCGGCGTGCTCACCTGCACAACTGATGGCCCATTTGTGGTCAAGTACATTTGGAGCTAACTTCCCTGTGATTCGATACTCACTTATTATCTCTGATATTATTATTAATTACAACTTTCCGAAATACAAGATATAAGCTATTCGTCTTGTAGGATATCAAGCAACGAACAAATGCATAGAGTTGTAAGAAATAAGTCCAAACATTTATCTGATGTAGTAATGTTAATGCGCCATGGAAGATATTCTTCCATTTTTGGTTTCCCTTTTTCGATCGGTAATAATGTTGGACGGAATATGACGTCAACCTTGTAGTATATAATGCTAAAAACCAATTCGACAAAGAAGCAGGATGAGTCATCCTGATTATTACTAAGTTTGAAAACCTTCCATGCGAACACTACATGTTTGCTTCCTCGATCAAAGTCCAAAAGCCATCATTAATAAAAGATTTGATCAAAAGAGCACTATTTGCATTTTAAACTCAGCTTGGAACTTATCTCAATGATTCGAACCGTTTTATGAATTCTTCAATGTTCGATAAAATAGGCATGACATTTGACCCCAAGAACCGATGACTTGAAAGATGTGATAGTGATTTCATTGTCCCATTTAGTGTAATCAGTTTTACATCTATTTCCGTCACAGGGAAGTTAGCTCCAAATGTACTTGACCACAAATGGGCCATCAGTTGTGCAGGTGAGCACGCCGCTCCCTTCTGCGACCGGAAAGAGGGCAAAACCGCCAATTCCTCCATTCATGGAACTCCAACATAGGAAAGTCCTTGAAATAGTAAAATTCAAGTAACCGGAGCCCGTGGTTCTTTGATAAACTAGACATCCGCCCAACACTGCTCCATGCCCTACCACCCACCTGTTTGAATGCATCAATCTAGATTCTGTCCTCACTTCCAACCTACTCTACCTGCAGAGGGCCTGATAATCCCTACCTCAACTGATAACTTAAGGCTACATTCATTCTCGCCTCTTTCTCACTTCTGCGATCTTCCCTTTGAGGCACTTCTCTTCGTTGTTGAGCTTGCCTTGCTCTTGCTCTGCAGGTCACCATAAAACATGTCTAAAAAACTTCTGAACAAGGATATCATTTATGAGCTATAAACCAGGAACCTATCACGCAATTGAACGAAGTTGCTGGCAAGGGTATGGCTACTACTTTCCACATGATAGCTCAGTGTTATCTGCAGTAGCAGCAATCTTGTTGAAAAAATCTATAACAAAACAACTCTTTGGTACTAATAGGTGGTTGGAAGCACTTGCACGGCCTACGACAGTAAACAAATAGAACTGCCATGACAGTGCATTGGTAACAGAAGACATTATGGAAGGACAAGGTGTAACGGGAAGAGACGCAGCCACTTACAGCCTTTGATTTGCGTTTGATCTTCCCACGCACTTTGTTCTTTTGTTCCTTCAACTTGTATATCCGCACCATCCAATGATGACTTGTAAAAACCTACGACGCAACCCTTTTCTAGTTAAGTGCAAACTCAAACATGGATCATCAACGTTAGCAAATGTAAGGAACTGCAGCAAAGCATAAAACATATCAAAACATGCAGGCTCACTTAAAATACCTCTTCAAAGTGAGTCAGTCTGAACTGCTTTTTCCCAATTTCGGTCCTTCTAACTCTATCGTAGCCCTTCCCATCCATGGTGGCTTCTGCAAACCTGTCCTCCAAAACACATGGTTTATAGCTTCCGATTAAAACTAACGAACAAGAACAGAAACGCAACAAGCAGCAAATACTGCAGGGCGGCAAGCCCTCAAGAAAAATAAAATACAATAAAATATTTCCGCATCTGCTTCGGAAAATGACTAACACGGTTCACAGAATCACGCACCTGTAGTAGGATAATTTATACATCAGGGAGTTGAGCATCGTTTGGGTGGCCTGGCTATCAATACGGTACTGGCCGTCTCTCTGTCATGAAAAATACCACGCACTAATTCAGAGTAATCCTCAAAATTTGAGGGGTGGTTCGACCCAAACATGACCATATTCACAAGTGTGCTTGCGATGGCGAGTAAGATCAAAACTGTTGCAGAACTTACCAGGTAGTCAGGCTCCTTGATGTGAGCGAATACACCCCCACCAATGCGCACCATCCA